TCACCGTCTACCTGGTGGTGGCGTTGGCCTCGGTGTCGTCGCTCTTCCTGTTCTCGGTGCTCCTGTTCGTGGCGGTGCGGCTGTGCAGGAGGAGCAGGGCCTCGGTGGGTGGCTGCTCGGTGCCCGAGGGTCCCTTTCCAGGGCATCTGGTGGACGTGAGCGGCACCGGGACCCTGTCCCAGAGCTACCAGTACGAGGTGTGTCTGTCGGGAGACTCTGGGACTGGTGAGTTCAAGTTCCTGAAGCCAATATTTCCTAATCTCTTGGGTCAGGACACGGGGAGGGAAATTAAGGAAAACCCCAACTTCAGGAATAGCTTTGTATTCAGTTAAGTGTTGTATTTAGTTTAGTGAGCCGTTATTAGTTTTGTCAAACTTCCCATTACAATACCTTTATTTAAAAAAATTGTCTACTTATCTAAATATTCATACAATTTCAAATCTATGCATGATATAGCTAAATTTGTTACAAATTGCACTTAACATTTTTAGTTATACTGAATATTATTTTCTCTATTTTTGATCTACTGGTGGTTAATCTTTCTATAACTATAAATTATTCAATGAGGATAAAAATAAATTATATTTTAATGAAATTCTTACATTAACATCTTTTTAATGGAACGTTTAAGTGAATATATGAACTCTTGAATTTCTAAATATTTGTTGTGCCCGTCTTTACCATGTAATTTAATGTTTGCAAGGCCAGAGTGTTTGAAATTTTTTGTAATTAACTTTATAATTACCTTCTCCTTTCTTGTTGACTGTACTAGGCTAAGCCCTCTTAATAGCCATGAGCATAAAATTTAGTATACTTATTTTCAGAAATTGTATATAAATATGCATTTCATTAAATTAGTAATGCACTAAAATTGTGACCCTTTTCCTCTAGTGACATAGTCGTATGTCTAGTGATTATTTTATTTGGTTGCTACTTACCTAGCATATGATAATGTTCCATAAATACTAATATTAACTTTTGTAAAAATAACATCATTTACTAATAATTATTAAAGAGAAAATTCTCATATACTTTGCCATAACCTTTCACTAAATAAAACTGTTAAATCATGGCCTGATATCACCTTTTAAAAAATATTCTCGGAATCCGAAATAAGCCCTACATTTCTTCCCAAAATCAAGACCTTTGAGAACTTCAGGTCTCCTTGTACTTCCTTTTGCCCTGCAAATAGAAATCCAAGTGTACTTTAATATGTTCATATCTTTTGGTTTTCCTACAGCTTCTCCCCATCTTTCAAAATAATTGGAAAATTTCTTCTGCATCTTGTCTATTCTGTTTAAATCTGATAATCAGTTAATCTCAGGTTTTTCACTTCACATTACTTTGCAGATATGGACAGTCTTTACAAAAAATAATTTTTTTGATGTTTAATTATCTTTTGTTTGTTCTTTAATGTAACCTTCAGTTATTTTGAATTAATTTAACTTCTCAATTATGCCACAGCTGCACTTGCATGAGATAATATTATTTTGTCCTTGAAGAGACTGGAACAATAATAAATTTATCTGAGCGATAATTGTTTTATGCTGTGATCAATAAGTGCAGTAAACTAGTTAAAATTGTATGGATATAACTATAGGACACCTCTATTTTACTTTTGGCAGAATATGAGCAATTGAAGAACTTGCTTTTTAATCAAACATTTATTTTTAAATTTCAAGTATCATTCTACAGGAGTTAAATTACTTACACTTTTTCCTGAATTGCTCTTTTTTTCTAAACATGTAATGAAATAAAAAGGACAGTTATTGACAGTTTAAGTTATTCTTAAAACATAGTTTTTAGCATTTATTTGATTTAAAAATCGAAGTGAAGAATTGATAAAAGTGAGAACAGAACATATACAAATATGTAAGATGTAAATCTGGTAGTCAACCTTAATTCTTCTTCCATTTATTATTAGCTATTTAAATGAGATGGCTTTGAGGCTGGGTGTGTTGGCTCATGTCTATAATCCCAGCACTTCGGAGGCAGATGGATTGCCTGAGGCCAGGAGTTCAAGACCAGCCTGGGCAATATAGTGAGACCCCCTGTTTCAACAATTGCAACAAAAAATTAACTGGCCATGGTGGCACATATCTGTAGTTGCAGCTACTCAGGGGGCTGAGGCAGGAAGATTGCTTGAGCCCAGGAGACAGTGCAAGACCCTGTCTCAAAACAAAACAAAACAAAACAAAACAAATTGACTCCCTCTTCTTTTACTATTAAAAGTTACAAAATATATTGTAAATTGTCTAAGGTTAAAACTTATGCGTATATTTGGTGAAATTCTGCTTCCAGAGTAAATGAATTATCTAGCAGCAGAAAGCCACTCTAAAAATTGGTTAAAATGTAAAATTATCTGTTTGAAGTAATGGAAAACAGAAAATATAATAAGATCTGAGTGGACTAAGATTCCTGAGAAGGAAAATTCTTGGAGGTGAAAATAGACTCTTGACAGGAGTTTTGCCCTGAGGAAATTTGTTAAGTCTGAGAACAAAAAGCTTTTGTCAGAGACAGAGTATCTTAAATAGCCGTTTGAGTTGACTGAAAGATTCAAGTTCATGGCCAAATTTTCCCCTCAGGACACTTGTCAAACTAAGACTAAAAACTAATTGGGAAATTCCTGAAAAGCAAAGTGAAGTTTTAGCAGTCTTGCTATTGAAAGATCAGAGTTTAGGACCTGCCATGGGAAGAGGCTCTGGAGAATATACCAAGTTCTCAGCTGAAAATTCTGGAGAGCCAAGTGCTTATCAGGACTGCAAAGAACCTTGACAAAGCCCAGTGCCTGTTTCAGTTTAGATGATTTGTTTAGACATAACTCTATCAAATTGACAGAGGAAAAGGTGAACTCTTGCTGGAGAAAGATAATATCTTAACCTTGGATAGCTTTTTATGTAAATATTCAGCATTCAATAAAAAATTACTAGGTACACACACCAAAAACTGGATATCATGAACAAAAACCAAGAGAAAAAACAGACAATACAAATGACCCACAGATTATTCAAGTATTATAATTAACCGAATGATTTTAAAATAAGTAAGACTGATATGCTAAAAATAAAGAACAATAGAGAAAATAAAAAAACAATTTCAATGGAGAACTGAACTTTAAAAGTGGAAGTTAATTCTAGAACTGAAAAATTATATTATCTGAAATTAAAATTATTTAAATGATTTAATGGCATAGCCATAAAATAATACAGGATTAGTAGATGCAAGACAATTCAATATTAATATCCAAATATAAGCACAGAGAAAAAAATAATGAAAAATACAGAAAAGAACATTAGTGATATGTGGAATGTAATTTTTAAAAACTCTAACATACTAAAAGAGAGCGCAAGAATGAAGAATAAGCAACATTTAAAGAGATAATTATAAAGAATTTTCCAAAATTGGTGAAAATCCCTAACTCTCCAAGATTCACAAGAAATAAATAATAACAGGATAAATAAAAACAAAGCCCATTTACGCATATCATAGGAGAGTTTCTCAAGACCAAAGTCAAAGAGATAATTTCAAAAGCAACCATATAAAAAATAATATATTTCTGTTAAAGGAGCCAAACATATCCTTCAAAAATGAATGCAGTTTTCAGACAAAAATTGAGAGAATTAATGACAGTTACACCTGCAGTAAAATAAATAATTTATTTCTTTTTTTTTTAGACAGTGTCTCACTCTGTTACCCAGGCTGGAGTACAGTGGCACAGTCTTGGCTCACTGCAATGTCCACTTCCTGGGTTCAAGTTATTCTCCCCATCTCAGCCTCCTGAGTAGCTGGGATTACAGACATGTGCCACCACATCCAGCTAATTTTTGTATTTTTAGTGGAGACGGGGTTTCACCAGGTTAGCCAGCCTGGTCTCAAACTCATAACCTCAAGGGATCTGCCCACCTCAGCCTCCGAAACTGTTGGGATTACAGGCGTGAGCCACTGCATCTGGCCAAGAAATACTTTTAATGAAATGCATTAGGCAGAAGGAAAACAATCCAAAAGAAATCACAGAATTGCAGGAAGAAATGAAGAACAACAAGAAAGGTAAATGTAAATGAACGTTGATTGAATATTGATTATACAAGGCAATAATATTAATACTAGTTTCTTAAATGATTTAAATTTTATATATAATTTAAATTTATAACAATAATAATGTACAAGGCAAAGGTATAAATAGAGTTAGAAAGTGTTAAGGCTGTAAGCATTATCATGGAAGTAGTAAAATTAATAATGTGTGTCAGATTCTTGTAGATTGAAGATGCTGGGATTTCTTGGATAACTCTCAAAGTAATAAAATACTAACTGAAGGAATAAAAATTATAAATATTTGAATAGTCCAAAAGAAAAATTAAACTTTAGTGACAAATAGAAAAATAATTAGATGGTAAGTATAAATGGAAAGATATCAGATATTATATTACTAATATTTGGATTAAATAACACAATTAAACAACAAAAATTGTCAGACTAGATTAAAGAAAAACTCAACTTTATTCTATCAAATAAGTGTGTGTGTGTGTGTGAGAGAGAACACAGAAAGAGTAAAAGTTTAAAAGAATGGGATAAAGTTTATAGTAATATAAACACTAGCCACAATAAATCTAGGTAGTTATACTTACATAAGACAAAGAAGACTTTTAGGAAAGATACATTACTAGAGATAAAGAGAAGTGTTGTGTAATACTAAAGAAATAAATATATCAGAAATATGTTAGTTTTGAGACTGAATACATCCCGATTAGACAACTACAAAATATATAAAGTTAAGTTGATAGAATACAAATGCAAGATAGACAAACCCAATTACACTGGGAGATTTAATACAACTCTCTCAATTCCTATTAGAATAAAAAGACAAAACACATGCAAAAAATATTGAAGATCTGAACAACACGAACATCATATTCAAATAAATTGACATAACACAGCACACTGGAGCATTCACATTCTTCTTACATGCATGTAGGATATAAAAAAAAATTGTTCATATTCTTGGTCATAAAAGAAGCCTCAAATTTTTAAAAAAGAATTGAGGCAGGGTATGGTGGCTCGTGCCTTGTAATCCCAGGACTTCAGGAGGCTGAGACAGGAAGATCACGAGGTCAGGAGTTCGAGACTGGCCTGGCCAACATGTGAAACCCCGTCTCTACTAAAATTGCAAAATTTATCCAGGCATGGTGGCAGGCACCTGTAATCCCAGCTACTCAGAAGGCTGAGGTAGGAGAATTGCTTGAACTTGGAAGGTGGAAGTTGCAGTGAGCTGAGATCACACCACTGCACTCAGCCTGGGCAACAGAGCAAAACTCCTTCTAGGAAAAAAAAAAAAAAAAGAATCGAAACAACTCAGAGTATGTTCTCTGACCATAGTGAATTAAGCCAGAAATAAAAATATAACCGGAAATCTCCAAATATTTTAAAATTAAATTGTATAACCTGTGAGTCAAAGAATAAATCACAACAGAAATTTCCAAATATTTTGAATTGGGAAAAATTAAGACCTGGCATATCAAAACAGTACTTAGAGGGAAATTTTAAACCTTAAATGCACATGTTAGAAAAGAAAGGCCAAAAATCAATAATCTAAGCTTTTATCTTAAGAAGATGGAAAAAGAATAGCAAATCAAATGCAAATAAAGATGGAAGAAAATTTTATACACACACATAAGCAGAAACTAAATAAATGACAAATATACAACAGGGGAAATCAGGGAAGCTAAAAGTTGGTTTCTTGTAATGATTGAAATTTAAAACTTTAAGACAATCAAGAAAAAAGGAGGAAGACACCAGCTGCCAATATCAGGAATAAACACACACACACACACACACACACACACACACACACACAACTAGCAGCCTACAAACATTTAAAAAATAAAAAGGGAATATTATGAACAATTTCATGCCAATAAACTTGACAATTATATAAAACAGAAAACAACCTTTAAAAACACAATTTTCCAAAACTGAAACTGGAAGAAATGAAGATCTGATTAGTCATATCTATTACATTAAAGCTGTTCATTAAAAACCTTTTCTAATTCACAATAGTGAATTCTCCTGATGTCAAAATTTTCACTAATTTGTACAAACTCCTTCAGAGAGTAGAAAAATAGACATTTCCCAAATAACTTGGGTGTCAGCATAAATCTGAATAGATTATAACATTCAAACCTGAATAAGATATAAAAAGATGACAAACTATTCTTTTTTATAAATATACATGGAAAAATTCCCTTTAAAAATCTTAGCAAAGGCTGGCCATGGTGGCTCATTCCTGTAATCCCAGCACTTTGGGAGGCTGAGGCGGGCAGATCACCTGAGATTGGGAGTTTGAGACCAGCCTGACCAACATGGAGAAACCCCATCTCTACCACAAATACAAAATTAGCTGGGCATGGTGGCACAAGCCTGTAATTCCAGTTACTCGGGAGGCTAAGGCAGGAGAATTGCTTGAACTCGGGAGGCAGAGGTTGCAGTGAGCCAAGATTTCGCCATTGCACTCCAGCCTGGGTAAAAAGAACGAAACTCCATCTCAAAAAAATTAAAAAAGAAATAAAAAATAAAAATATTAGCAAGTAAAATTTAGAAATATATAAAAGAGAAATAATAATTTATTGGAAACCGGAGTTTATTTTAGGAATACAGAGGCAGTTTAATATTTGAAAATTGATTATTATAATTTACCATATTAAAAGATAAAGAAAAAAACATGATTATTTCAATGCATACACAAAAAATCATTTGATAAAATTCAGTACACAGTAATAGTAACATTATTAGCAAACTAAAATCGAAGGGAACTTTCAGAGTGACTTTAAAAACCTACAGGAAGCATCATTAATGGTAAATTTTTGAAAACTTTCCTCTGGAGATCAAGAATGAACAAGGATACCTGTCTTTTCTTCTCCAATTTAGTATTTTATTACAGATCCTAAACAGCACAATAAAGCAAAGAAGGAATAAAGGCACTATGATTCGAAGGGACAAAATTAAAATGTCTTTTTAAGTAGACATGATTATACACATTGAAAGCCATGAAGAATCTACAGGCTACTGGAATTAATAAATGAAGTTAACAATGCCACTGGATACAAGGTCAACATACAAACATGAGTTGTATTTCTATGTGGCAACATAAAAAATGAAAAATTTAAATATTATGCACAATGGTTTCAAAAATAGTATGAAAAAATCTAGTTGAATACTAGAATCTAGTATTCAGACTTCACTGAAAACTGTAAAATATTGAGAAAAGTTAAAGAAGATCTAAATAATTACAGGAATATACAAGGTTCACTAATTGGAAGAGTCGATGTTGGGAATATGTCAGTTCTCTCTTAGTCAATCTATTGATGCAATAAAATCCTAAACAAAATTTCAGCAGATTTCTTTGTGAAAATTAATGAACCAAACATTAAGTTTATTTTAACATATAAATAACCAAAGCAATCTTGAAGAAAAGGAATAAAACTAGAGATACCACACCAAAGTCATACTCCATAGAAGAAAGAATTAATAAACTGGACTTCATTAAAATTAAAACTTTCTGCTCTGCAAAAGATACTATGAAGAGAATGAAAAGACAAGACATAAACTAGGAGAAAATATTTGCAAAAGACATATCTGATAAAGGACTGTTATTCAAAATATACTAAGAACTACTAAAACTCAGCAACAAAAACCAAATGAACCAAAGACCTTAACAGACACCTCATCAAAGAAGATATACAGCTGGCAAATAAACATATGAAAAGATGCTCCATATCACACGTTAACAGGAAAATGCAAATTAAAATAACAATGAAGTACAACTACACGCTTATTAGAATGACCAAACTCCAGGACACTGACAGTGCCAAATGCTGGTAATGAGAGCAACAGGAGCTCTCATTCATTGCTGGTGGGAATGCAAAATTGTACAGACGCTTTGGAAGACAGTTTGGCAGTTGAATACAAAACAAAACATACTATTACCATGTGATCCAGCATTCATGTTTCTTAGGATTTTCCCAAAGGAGTTGAACATTTATGTTTACACAAAAACCTGTGCAGGGATATTTATAGCAGTTTCATTCATAATTGCCAAAACTTGGAAGCAACCAACAGGTCCTTCAGTAGGTGAATGAATAAACAAACTGCAGTTCATTCAACCCATAGAATACTATTCAGCATCACAAAGAAATGAGCTATCAACCTATGAAAAGACAGGGAGGAAATCTAAACGGATATTACTAAGTGAAAGAAGCCAGTCTGAAAAGACTACATACTGCATGATTCCAACTACATGGTGTTCTAGAAAAAGCAAAACTTTGGAGACAGAAAAAAAAAAAATCCATTTGCAGTGGGTTCTAGGGGAGGAAGGGAGGTATATATAAGTGGAGCACAGGGGATTTTTAGGGCAGTGAAACTACTTTGTGTGATACTATAAAGTGAATCCATATCATTTAAAATTTGTTCAAAGCTGTAGAATACACAGCACCAAGAGTGAGCCCTAATGTAAACTATGGGTTACAATGATGTGTCAATGCAGATTCATCAGTTGTAACAAAGGAACCACTCTGGTGGAAGATGTTGATAACGGGTGATGTTGTGCTTGTGTGGAGACTGGGGCATATGTGAAATCTCATTTTTGCTGTGAACCTAAAACCACTCTAAAAGTAAAATGTATTTTAAAAAAACTTGAGAACTTACTTCTCAGATAACAAAACTCATGATAAAGCTATAATAATGTTATTGTAGGATAAACAAGATTGAATAAAACATCTTCAGAGCTATGGTCACTTGATTTATAACAAAAATGACACTTCAAAAACAATGGAAAATGGATTGTCTTTTAAATAGATGGTACAAAGGTATAAGGCATTTGGATACTTACATTTTAAAATGTTTGACTCCAACCTCATTCACCTGAAAAATTAATTTCAGGTTGATTATAGCTCTAAATATGAAAAGTGGAATAACTAATCTTTCAGAAATATATCATACAAGAATATTTTCGTGTTTCATTTAAATAAAACACAAAAAAATGCTGAACATAAATGAAAATTATTGACAAATCCGACTAAAGTTAAGAAATGTTATTCATCAAAGATGCCATGATAGACTTGAAACATAAACCATAGCGTGGGAAAAGATGTTTGCAATACATGTATCTGAAAAAGGACTTCCAGAACATATAAGAAACTTCTGCAGAACAAACAGGCAAATGCCTCCCCACCAGAAAAGTACAAAAGATTTGCATAAGCCCTTCACAAGAGTGTATCCTAATGGCCGACAAACATGAAAATACTCAAATTGTTTAATCACCAGTGAAAATGCTAACTAAAATTAAAATATGATATCACCACACACTCACCAGAGAGGGTTAAAATGGAAAAGATAGCATCAAATGTTGACAAGAATGTGGAGCAACTGGAACTCTCATACTTTGCTGGTATTAGTACAACTATTTATGAAAATTTTCCCATTATCTGCTAAAGCAAAATATATGTGCACATCTTAATACATAGCAATCCAACTCCTTTGAATATATTCAACATAAACACATATATGTGGTCACCAAAAGACTAGTACAGGATGTTTACAGCAGTACTACCCAAAATAGCTTAAAACTGGAAAAAATCCAGTGTTCACTAACTGGAGAATGGATAAATAAATCATAGTATATTCATACAACAGAATAATATAAAGCAATGAGAATAAAAAAAATTAGAACAAGATGCCATAGATCAATTTGACAAACATAATATTGAGAATAAGAAGCCAGACACATGAGAGTAACAATCTGTATACCGTAACTTTGTACAACTCCATTTGTATAAAGTTAAAAAAAAAAAAAAGCAAAAAAAAATCTATGACCACAGAAGTCAGGACAGTGCTTATCTTTTGGGGAGAGGGTGGTAACCAGACAGTAGCAGGTGGGGACTTGAGTTTGGGTAGTATTTTATTTTTAATCTAGGTTCTGCTTATAGGAGTGTGCTCACTTTGTGAAAATTTATTGAGTTGTACACCTATGATTTGTTCCATTTTCTGGGTGTTATTGCTGTTTACTTCGAAAGTAATTCTTCTTAAACTTTAAATTTCTGTAGATATTCATAGTCACTTACTGAATGTAATCAAATAAGAAACCCACCAAAAAAAGTATGTTTGTGTACTCAAAGGTACTTTTATGGAGGAGATTAATATATGTTTAGTTTTTTCTCAAAAGTAATCTCTCACTGAAAGTTAACTCCGCAACATTTATTTAGAACTTCCAGTAACTAAGAACTGGAGATATCATCGAGAGAGCTTATATGACAAAAGAGTATGGATACACATCAAGATTACAATTTAGGATGAAACGGCAAATACTGTATGCAATAGTAAATTAGGACGCCTGGTGGCGCTGCAGGCTAAGAGTGTGAATAGCGGGCTCTGCGGATAACCCAGGCGCCATTAAGCTGGGGAATCCAAACTGAATGCTTCCTAAAACAAGGACGCATTTTAGGTAAGATCTAGTGGCTAAATCTTCAGAGTGGACGTCGTTCTTGTGCAAGTCAGTCAAAAAAGACTGAATTCGCGGTTATTTAAGCAAATCATCTGGGTGGATTGTATACCGAGTTGAAGAAACTGCGCCTTCTGGACCGGGTCTGAACAATGGAGACTGCGCTAGCAAAAACGCCACAGAAAAGGCAAGTTATGTTTCTTGCTATACTGTTGCTTTTGTGGGAGGCTGGCTCTGAGGCAGTTAGGTATTCCATACCAGAAGAAACAGAAAGTGGCTATTCTGTGGGCAACCTGGCAAAAGACCTGGGTCTCGGGGTGGGGGAACTGGCCACTCGGGGCGCGCGAATCCATTACAAAGGAAACAAAGAGCTCTTGCAGCTTGATATAAAGACCGGGAATTTGCTTCTATATAAAAAACTAGACCGGGAGGCGTTGTGCGGGGCGACAGAACCTTGTATATTGCATTTCCAACTCTTACTAGAAAACCCAGTGCAGTTTTTTCAAGCTGATCTGCAGCTCGCAGATATAAATGACCATTCTCCAGAGTTCCCAGAGAGGGAAATGCTCCTAAAAATCTCAGAAGGCACCCAGCCTGAGACTGTGTTTCCTTTGAAAATAGCACAGGACTTTGACATAGGTAGCAACACTGTCCAGAACTACACAATCAGCCCCAATTCGCACTTTCATGTGGCTACTCATACTCGCGGAGACGGCAGAAAATACCCAGAACTGGTGCTGGACAAAGCGCTGGACCGGGAGGAGAGACCTGAACTCAGCTTAACACTCACGGCACTGGATGGTGGGGCTCCGCCCAGGTCTGGGACCACCACAGTTCGCATTGTCATCTTGGACAATAATGACAACGCCCCCGAATTTTTACAATCACTCTATGAGGTACAGGTTCCTGAGAACAGCCCCCTTAACTCCTTAATTGTCGCTGTCTCTGCGCGAGATTTAGATGCAGGAGCGTATGGGAGTGTAGCCTATGCTCTATTTCAAGGTGATGAAGTTACTCAACCATTTGTAGTAGACCAAATAACAGGAGAAATTCGCCTGAAAAGGGCATTGGATTTCGAGGCAACTCCATATTACAATGTGGAAATTGTAGCCACAGATGGTGGGGGCCTTTCGGGAAAATGCACTGTGGCAATAGAAGTGGTGGATGTGAACGACAACGCCCCTGAACTCACCCTGTCGACGCTCTCCAGCCCTACCCCAGAAAATGCCCCGGAAACTGTAGTTGCTGTTTTCAGTGTTTCTGATCCAGACTCCGGGGATAACGGTAGGATGATTTGCTACATCCAGAACGACCTCCCGTTTCTTTTGAAGCCCACATTCAAGAACTTTTACACCCTCGTGACACAGAGAAAACTGGACAGAGAGAGCCAAGCCGAGTACAACATCACCATCACCGTGACTGACTTGGGGACACCCAGGCTGAAAACCGAGTACAACATAACCGTGCTGGTCTCCGACGTCAATGACAACGCCCCCGCCTTCACACAAACCTCCTACACCCTCTTCGTCCGCGAGAACAACAGCCCCGCCCTGCACATCGGCAGCGTCAGCGCCACAGACAGAGACTCAGGCACCAACGCCCAGGTCACCTACTCGCTGCTGCCGCCCCAGGAC